TTTACTAATAAAAATCGAGCTAACTCGCAAATTGTTGAATATGAATCTTTTGTTTCTCCCATTTAATTTAATGAACAAGTAATTTAAATACCTGAAATTTTCCTTGAAAGATATCAATAACTTTTCTCTGAATAAATACTTGGTCAGAAGAAATTTGGCAACGCACGAATATTCATACGACGTTCTTCGCAATAACGGCGCGACCAGTTTTTCCTCGATTAGTCATCGCAACAAGTGCACCGAGTGAGAGGACTGAGAGGTGACTCATTAAGTGAAGCAATTAAGTCCAGTGGCGTGGCGTGAATTGCGATAAATCGATTAATATGTAATTTAAACCTATTAAAGAATCGATTATTAAGGTGTTCGCTGCGAACCCAGTCCTGTCTATCGATCCTTTTCCATAGGTTTAAATGGCAGATCGTTCGATACTTACATCGCGAAGTGCGCCACGCCACTGATTAAGTCGACTACGAAACTCCCAAACCACGTATTTCGGTCGGCAACGTTTCAGACTTCCTCTCGTACTTCATCTTAAAATTGTTGCTAGGATTGTGCTAACTTGTAATCTTAGCAAAAAGTTCCTGAAATCATGCGAAAACTTGAATTTACAAAGGTGATTTTCGTCTCGCATTCGTAGTTCATTGGGAGTAAAGATAAAACCCGTTTAGATGATCAGTATGTATTTGCAGGCAAAAACAAGCAGTGAACTCCAACACAATGTGTTGATAAGGCGCGTCATTAACTCACACATATCAACTCCTTTAGTTGTCATTTACAGAGATTTCAAAATAGGGAAGTAGCACAACAAGAGAATTCATACGATCCAACTCTTCGACGACGCACTTTGACGAGACCGTGTATTGTGAATGTAGAAAGCCATTCGAACGAGTTTAAGTTTTTTGATCTGCCCCCAGCAATATCTTATCAGATTCTTGAAAAAAAGTGCTACGGAATAATTTAAGGGAAGAAAGGAAAAATTCTGTCGAACTCCTGAAAGGTACCTACAATAGATTTAAAGGTATTTTTGGGGCTAAAATATCCAAATCACCGGTACCTATTTTAAATCCCGATATATTATTGAAAAGAAATTGACTCGATATAAATGTAATTGCATTAAATATGTCTTGATTTTGTTATTTTAAACGTATTTCCATGCAAAGAAGTTCAACCATGTCCATGCTTTATTCATTTATGAATTGAAAGTAAGCAATCTACATCCCGAAAATCTACCGATTTGCCGTAAAAAATTGCAGAAACTTGATATACCAGGTCGATGCACTCACTCGTTGAATTTACCAACAGATTTCGTGGGTGCAAATATATAAAAATCAATATGCAATGGTAGTCATTTTGGGTGCATTTATTTTTCATGAAACAATAATAATTTCAATCCCGAAAAACCATCAATTTTCCGTATAAAATCGAAAAAATCGAGATGTGTCGACTCCCTGACGTGAAAATTAGATTCTACGTGTAAAAATACTTACACATGGATATGCTGAACAGAAACCATGTGTGGACACAGTTAGGATACATAGCCCCAGAATACTTTTAAAGCGCCTTTGCTTTTCAGAATCTTGACGGAATTTTTTTTTGGCTTAAACGACTCAAGAGACACTGTAGTTAAAAAATATAAAGAATTTTCGATTTTGACACAAAAAAAAATGTTCGTTCAGGCACACCATGTATTGTATGGTGTATTGCGCTGGTATTCAATCCTTGCCTTCAGATCAAAATTCTTACAAGGAAGCCCCTTGCAAGAGGCGAATTTTTTGTAATTTCTCCCAATTTTTTCTCCGTTATATAGTTGAATTGCTTGCCAAATTCTGAGGTCAATTATATTTAATTGTAATTTATACATTTCTTTTTTCCTCTTCATTTTATTTTTTGTTTGGAGAAGTTTCGTTGATTTCTTTGGATTTCGAATACTGTAACTTCTTTTCTATTCGGCCGATTTTTATGAATGAGACCTCTTTCAATTCGTCTTTGAACGGAGAGTAAGGAAAAAATTCCTAGGTACTCGCGAAACAATTTTTTCGAAAATTTGATGGATCCCAGCGTGACGGTGAAATGGGTAATCGAGTGAAAGTAATTAGGTCTGACTGTGACGAGGACCGCGAGGGTCGCCTTTTGTTCTTTAGCTGGAAAGCGACGCGGCGAACCGAGCCAGGACCGGGACACTACCTGGGTTTTGTGCCTGCCTGTGCACTGTTTTGGCCTGATAAGGGAGTGAATTTCTGTATAGGCCACGATTAGCACATGGGCTAATGAGTCTCGAGGCTCATCACAGATTGCACTTACCACTATCCTGCTGGCCCCGGCTATCAGAGCAAGGAGTACCAAATTTTGAAAATCATAACAGGGTTGTGGAGATCTGTCAAAGCAACGTTTTAAACAAAACGAAGAAGTGAAATTCTCATTCAACGAGTGCCGACCTGATCAGCCATCCTCGAATCAGTTCGCTTGCTTCTGCTTATATATGCATATTTTAAATCAGCGCGCCCCACTCTTAGGCTTTTTTTAAAAAAACCAAGTAACGTAGACTGTTGGTATTCACTGCACATAAACTAATGAGCCCCAGAATGAGAAACTACTTTAAATAATAATTATTGATGGATAAATAAACTTTTTACACGCTTTGGAAAATCTCAGAAGTTCGCGGTAGTCACTTTTCGGTAAGGAACTAAGGGACTCGGTTATTGTATCGAGTGGGGGGTCGAAACGATCGCAAAGGCGGTATACTACGTATACGCGCCAAAAAGTTGCACAATCTTAGCAACATTGGAATGCTCTTGGTCCCTTTTTGCGAAATGCAATCCAAATGGTAAACCATTTAAAGTCAATTCTTAAAAACTGCTTTGCCCTTTCTCCTCTATGCGAAGAAAACTCTATTAAAACTTTGAGTAATGATGTTGTTTTGGTCCCATTTAAAAAAATCAAATGAGAGCAGAGATTTAAAACACGGAAATGAGATATCGACGGTGTAAGTCGGCAATCACATAACTCGGTTTGCGACGTCGCGTCGCAGACTTCCTGTCATACTTTATTTTTTAAACGGAAAACTACTCAACAGCAATTCTTTAAATTTGCCGTGATTTTTCTTCTCTGTGCGAAGAAAATTTTGCAAAGACTTCAAGGGATGATGTCAATTTGTTCTCCTTTAAAAAATAACATAGAGGTGGAGATTTTCAGACACCGCAAACGAGTTATGTGATTGCCGACTTACACCGTCGATAAGTGGTTTGGAAGGTTCGACGTCAAAGTGTGAGTGATCATAAGAAGATGATGAAAAAAGATGATAAAAATGAACGTGCCTACCTGTATACCGAGATCTCATTAACGCGCATATAATTTTAATTTTAACGGAGTAGTACAATGTAGTGTGCTCAATTTTTTGGTTAATTCTCAAACAAATTCAGTACAAGATCACCTTCAAGGTTCGATGTGGATAAAATGAAGAGTTGTCAAGATCGTGCAAATATTTCTCTTGTTTTCACGAGAACCCAATTGCCTAATAATGAGAATTTTATCATGAAAATATGGTAAAATTTAAAGATATTTTCCCAATGAAAAGACCATCAAGTGAAGAAATTACTTTCAGAGTGAGACTGCTTTCAGAAATATTGGGTTTTTCAGTTTTTCATTCTAGACACTTTCTCTTACTCCAAAGAACATCAGGTGAAGTTCCAAACCATAACTTACATTATTAGGTCATGATATCATGAGCGTTTGAAGTCAATCATCCTAAGAACTAGCAACAGTGCCAATGCACGGAGCGATGGACTTTGTGATCGGGGGGGGGGAGGGCAGAAGGGCATCCCATCAAGAGGTGTCTGGGAGGCAGCATGACACTATACAACATGGTGGATCTATGCAATTCCCCCCATGCTCCAAATTAAGGATCAAGAGTTTCCCTATCTCCAAAGAGATTCCTAGGGGCCTATCCGGGAACATTTTGCAAAATTCAGTCGTCTCAGGAGCAATTTTCCGCTGCTCCAACCGAAAAATCAATCGAAATATAATTTTCAGAGACTAGAGACCCTCCACCGGTCTCTTGGTGACAGGTGGAAGCTTGGAAGCTTGGTGGGAAAAGGGGTTACGCTAATACTTAGCAAATTCCCTCAAAGTTCTTGGGAGTACCGAGTAATTTTTTTTGGGGGGGGGGGAGCACGCTTTCCGTCTCCTACTTACGCCCGGGACAGCGTCGGCAAGCTTCAACCGCGATTTCCTCGAACCCTATGTTTCTTGTCCTCAACTTTGAAAAAGTAGTTATTTTATTTTTACTTTCCTCACTTCAAAGCATTTTTCCCTACTCCTTCTTCTGTGCTTCCAAGCTGGTTCAAAACTGTCCCATTCTTGCTTTTCCTGAGGCCTTGTCTCCACGGGCCGTTTCACGGGATTTGTCCCCGGGAAAAATCCCACTTACGAAGTTGGGAAAAACATTGCGTTAATCAATATTTTTCCCGGTACCAAGTATGGTCCTTTACCCCTAGGACTCACGGAGAGAGGAAGAAGAAGTGAAAACGAATTGTGCGATATTTTATTCATTACTCCATTGTTAATGTTTTTTTAGTTAGAATAATGTGTCTAATTGTCAATTGAGTGCAATTATTATTTTAATCCAGGTTAAATAATCGACTTTAACTAATATATCTTCCCGCGCAAACTAGTCGCAGTACCGTATGAGCCCCGTCCCGTGGAGACGGTAACTGGGAAAAATCCCAGAAGTTTCCTTCCTGCGATTCGAACTTGGGACAAATCCTATGAAAACGTCCCGTGGAAGTGTCATTTGGTATCTTCCTGCTAAACATTGTCCATATGCATAATGGTTAAACGCGAGGTTGAACTCAAGAATCTTAAGTGTTTGAATGAGATTTTTTGCAAAAAATTTGGCATCATACCATAACACAGGAGATAAGAATTTTCTGTGTACCCACTCCGTGTAATTACCTCTTTTTGGTGGGGACAGAGGGGGAAGAGAAAAAGAAACATTCCGACCAGGGTTTTCCGCCGAGAATCATTGTCTTAATTTTTCCATCTACTTACGTGCATTTGTTCACGAGTTGCTCATAGTTGTTCGTTCGTTATCATTTCCTTCTTTAGTCCTCGTACTTCTTACTTTCCACCAAAACCAAAGGTACACACAACATTCACAGTTTAACGTTTATTTAATCATTAATTTTATGGATGTGAATTCATTTTTAAAAAATTAAGATCAGTTTATTGGATCGATGGACGCCAGATTTTGTGTCAGAACGGCATGCGATTTATCGCATCAACTGGTTCCATTTTTTCAGCTACTCGTCATTTTTCTCCCATTTTGAGATCGCAATTCTATTGTCAGGAGGCTAAAGCACTCACTTACCAATTTTAACAAAGAAATTCAACGTAATAAAGGCGCGGTTTTTTTTAGAGAGAAAACATCGCATTCGATACTGATATCGAAACTGCACCCGAATGCGATATTTTCTCTCTAAAAAAGCCACGCCTATAATACGTTGAATTTCTTTGTTAAAATTGGTAAGTGAGTGCTTTAGTCTCCTAACAACAGAATTGCGATCTCAAAATTCGAGAAAAATGACGAGTAGCCGAAAAAATGGAACCAATTGATGCGATACATCGCATGCCGTTCTGACACAAAATATGACGTCCATCGAATCACCTTAATTTAAAAGTTGGCTCTTTTAAATAAAGGCATTGTCTGAATGATTACATCTGCCCCTAAGCCATTGATGTGTGATAAAATATACATTCTCGTTACGACACACAGTGGTTTGAGTCAATGGAAGAGGTCGGATAAAATTTGGAAACTTTAAAAGCTTATAACTCCATTCATGCAGAACTTTGAGGTTCTAAACGTGATTCGATTGGTCACCTCGTAAAATTATTTCTTTTTGAGGCACCCCGCACAGTTTAAAATTTGACGAATTGAACATCAAAATTTGCAGTTTCAGTTAAAAACTTCATGTCCGACCTATCTGATTGACTCGATCCAGTGTGCGACGCTTGGAAAGGTCCGATTATAATAAATACATATATTTATTTGTTTATTTTTTCTACAAAGGAACTAACCTAAATATCGCCTTGGCGTTTTCGGCGCATATTTTAGAACGCGTGAAGAGAAGAGAATTCAAAGTGAATTTCAAGAAAAATTGTCGGTTACCTACTTTTCTTTTTAGGAAAAACAGTATTGGAGATTTTCAACGTCGCAAATGGAGATGAAAATTGTTCGACTTTAACCAGTGATGTATTTCTCGCTGTCTGAGAGGTTACTGTATGCATGGTTTTCTCGAACTTACTCACAGTAAAATCATCTTGAAAAAATTCCATGCCGGAATTACTTGCTGAATTTTGTATTTCAAGGTTTGCTCATTTGTGCGTGAAAGGCAATGCTTCCTGCTCAAGGTCTGAGGTAAGAGGAATGGATTTTTCATTTCAGTACGTTAAGGGCGTACTACCCAATCTTACAGGATAATCTAAATTTTTCAAGTGTTCATTTATTGTGATAAACTGATAGGAAGTCGAACTGTGTCCGAATAAAATATGGGAAAATAACAGCGTGCCAGAGAGAAAATTCAAAATTTTCGAATAAAGAAATGAGACAAAAATCAATAAAAACTGAATGAACGGTAAAATTGGGCATATACACCAACGATGAAAGTTGGATAATGCACGTGCGAATCTCTTCTTCTGTGCTATAGTAGTAAAAGAGGAGCCAGACCACTTTTTCCCACCAAGTTTTCCATGAGATTTCTTTTTTCACTGAAAAATATTCGCAGAAAATTTTTGGGTTTTAATTTAGTTCCTCTTTAAAAAAACGTAAATCACCTTTGAGTTTCAGGAGCCATGCGGCGCATCAAGCTCGATTTTTAGGGACCATAGCAGACTTTTTAGAGGGCAAATTGACTTTTTGCGTATATACCACGGCGCATTTAGTGACAAGTTAGACGCAAGATGTTTTCGTCACAGAACTAGTAGCTGTAACTTGGGGGGAAAATTTCGAAAATTACTGGGCAGAAAAATCAGGATTTTTTTGAAGGGGGGAGGGCATTCCTAGGAACCACTTCGGCGCAGAACTTTCATTTTTTAGGCGCATTTGGCGCAGAAATTTCATTTTTTAGGCGCATTTGGCGCAGAACTTTCATTTTTTAGGCGCATTTGGCGCAGAACTTTCATTTTTTAGGCGCATTTGGCGCCTGTGAGTTTCGAACACTGGTGGAGGGTCTCTTGTCTCTGGGTTTGCCCGAACTTTACCCGAGCATCCCTTTATTTCACAGCTTTCTTCTGCCAGTTGCGCTGCTTTTTTTCCAAGTTCGAGCGTTGAAGACAACAGCATCGACGATACAGGCTTGGCCCGTCACCCCACGGCTCTGTCACCTGGAGGAGCCCCATTTCGACTACAAAAAACAGAGACTCTATTTCGCCGATCAGTACGGCAAGAGAGCCTGCTCTTACGATCTCCTGTCAGGTGTCACAGCCTGTACATCGTTAGGTAGGTCGCAAATCGATGGCTGAAGTCCGAAACCACGTATCTCAATGGACCTCTAGACAAAGTACCAAGTTAAGCATTCTCATACATCGACGGTGAAAGTCGGCAATCACATAACTCGTTTGCGGTGTCTGAAAATCTCCGCCTCTACGTCATTTTTTTAAAGGAGAACAAATTGACATGATTTCTTGAAGTTTTTGCAGAATTTTCTTCGCACTGAGAAGAAAAATCATGACACTTTTAAAGAATTGCCGTTGAGTAGTTTTCCATTTAAAAAATAAAGTATGACAGGAAGTCTGCGACGTCGCAAACCGAGTTATGTGATTGCAGACTTACACCGTCGACATGTTTCTAACCAAAATTTTACTTAGAACACGATGACTCCTGACCTAGAGTCCCCTTATGCTGAGAGTAAAGACGATGCGAATCCATTTCTGATTGGTTCCCGTCCGCTCAGATTTCTGAATTTACTTTTGAGGCCAAGTTTATGTTTTGAACCAATCGATATCGATACAATCTCACCCGTTTGATGTATCGAATACGATCTATGGTCTACGTATACGTCAGATCGCAAACTAAACGTTACCGTGATAGTCTTTGCGATACGAAAATGAGGCAATCTCAATATTGACGCTGTGGCTTTGTTATAGGACATTGTTTACATTTTGAAAATTAAACAATTTGAACAATGTTTGATCGAGAAGCCTGCCAAAACCGTTGTGGTGCGCGATTTGACTCACGTGGAGTATTGTGTATCTTGTGACCGGGCAATTCAAATTTCCCGTAACCAACGTATAATTAAAACGTTAATATCTTAGTTAGGAGTTAATTTCAGTAAATTTCGACGTATGAATCGTGTTCTACGTGAAATACTGGTTTAGAAACATGTGTATTAGAATGTTTAAATTCGTACCTTGTCTAGTGGTCTTATTTCCTCGGAGATAAACGAGCCAACTTAATCGCTTGGAATTTGAATGGAATATTCTACTGGCAGGAAGAAATTTTTTAAGGAATGTCGTTGACTAGTTTACTTAAGAAAAAATAAAGTATGGTCTACAGCGTCACAAACGGAGATACGTGGTTTCGTACTTGGGCTATTGGAATTTTTTAAGTTTGCAGATCTGCTTTTACTACTTTTTTTTCTTTTTTAGGGTTTTTACTAAAGTTGCATAATATCACACATATATAATTTCTCTGTTTATTTTTTCATCAAAGTTTGCATGGACCTACATATGTATATATGTAACCACCACTTTGGGTGGCCATTTGGGGAGAAAGAGCCCCCTCCCGCACAAAACAAAAACTTTGGGACTCTACTTTTTTCAAAGATCTTCCAGAAAAATGTTTTTATTTCTAAATCCGTGATCCAAAATTAATCCATGCAATAGACAGTTATGTTTTTTGTTTTTTTATTTTTTATTTTTTATTTTTTATTTTTAATTTTATATTTTTATTTTATTTTTTACGCAGATCAGACGGTTGGAGCTTTTGCTCCGGTGAAGAATACAAGGGACCAATTTCTAGCCGTGCTCGGTCCCTACTTAGTTCTCCTCTTTTGGGACGGAGTCTCAGCCCAGTCGACTTACGTCATTTTGGCCAGACCCGAGTCAGAGTCCAAGTATCCTGGCAACTTCTTCAACGATGGCAAGACCGATGTTGAGGGTCGGCTCTGGGTCGGTGAGTCTCTCCATTCTTCCGTGAATTAGCCTTTTAAAATGGACCAGTAGACAATATATACGAATTCAAGATATCTGATACGCGGATTGCATTTTGCAAAAAGGAACCAAAGCATTGGAATATGTTGCTAAGATTGTGGAACTTCATTCTTTGTAATAAAAGTACTGAGATCATGCCAAAAATTTAATTCACAGAGGTGAATTTAGGGCCGGATTTACCTACTTGCCACCCATGGGCCGCCGGTATTTTGCCGCCCCCTTCTCATTCGTTTTGAAACATCAATAAAAACCATCAAGTGAAAGTACCAGCGAGGGAGGGGTGCATAAGACGCGTTTACGCGTTTGGAGCAATGCGTGAAGTATTCTTGCAGTCTTGTAGGCGCTGATATGTGTTACATGCCGATCGCCGCGCCGATGGCTTCTCCTTTTCATCTCAAGTCCTTGTCATCATTGCTCTCTGCACCGCGCCGTTCCAGGCCAAATTGCGTGTTCGGTTCCTCTTTTAACTCGACTAATTAAAGGTGCTGTCTCTTGTATCACCGAAAGACGACAAAATGAGAAATTACTATACTCTCAGGAAATAAGAGATTTTGTTTGTAATTTTTTTCTAAATCCGATTTTTTTTTATATACCTACATTTAAAATGACAATACTTCCTCTCTACCCTAGGGGAGCGAGAAAGTAAAAATTGCGAGAGTTGCCGCCTCTTAGATTTGCCGCCATGGGCCGCGGCCCATGTGGCCACCTCCTTAATCCGGCCCTGGGTGAATTTTCTCTTGACTTTAAAGTTCATTTGGAGTAAAGATAAAACTTGTTTAGATGATTGGTTTATATTGCACGGTTAAACAAGTTGCACAATTTTAGTGACGTTGAAATGCTCTTGGTTCTTTTTTGCAGGATACATTCCACATGTTCCCTAACCAAAATTACACGCAACACTTGATTTGCACAACAGAGATTATTAACGCCCAACTGGAGGTATTTCTGCTGAACGGAACTGTAGGCAAGTGGTATTAATGAACTACATTTTGCAATTTGGACCTATAGATTCTAGCCTGGTTTAAAAACAACGTATGAGCCATTAGTTTCCCTTTACACATAAGTGTTTTTCCAGAAGAGCCAGAATTAATAGTTCCAAATTGCAAAATGCAGTCCAAATGGGGTGTGCTGTAAAATGTAAAAGTGGGCGTGATTCCCTTTGGAGAAATAGAGAAGTGGGATTCCATATTCTTCCACACGGAACTAAGCGCCAACTTAATCCGGCACTCATGAGCCATGGACATGGCAAAAGCACGTTGTGGACACGGTGCATAAGTTAAAGTGCGCGTTGCCGGGCGTCGTCGCTGCTGACGTCACTGGCGCTTTATAATTACCATTCATTCTTGCGCCTCTCGACCAACGAGCACACCCCTTCTTTCCCACCTGTCTGTCCCCGGTTCCGTTTAGCAGAAATACGTCCGAAAAAGATGTTGAATGTTCCAACACGCAAATCCAAACCTCCCGCTCGATTAGTGACAAGGCGTGAATGATTGATTATCGATATTCTACCATCGGAAGCTATGGTAAAGGATTGATTACTGAGGTGCTCGTTGCGATTGCAAACAGCGTGTTTATCGATCCTCTCTCATAGGTTTAAATAGCAAATCAATCCATTTTTCACAAAGCACGCCACACCGCACTGTCATGCGAGTATCAGTGCAAAACTGGGGGGAAAATTAGTCAATGCTCAAAATTGACTTCAAGGTGATTCGATGGACGCCATATTTTGTGTCAGAACGGCATGCGATATATCGCATCAATTGGTTCCATTTTTTCAGCTACTCGTCATTTTTCTCCAATTTTGAGATCGCAATTCTGTTGTCAGGAGACTAAAGCACTCACTTACCAATTTTAACAAATCAATTCAACGTAATAAAGGCGTGGTTTCTTCAGAGAGAAAACATAGCATTCGATACTGATATCGAAACTGCACTCGAATGCGATATTTTCTCTCTAAAAAAACCACGCCTTTAGTACGTTGAATTTCTTTGTTAAAATTGGTAAGTGAGTGCTTTAATCTCCCGACAACAGATTTGCGTTCTCAAAATTGGAAAAAAATGACGAGTAGCAGAAAAGATGGAACCAATTGATGCGATATATTGCATGCCGTTCTGACACAAAATATGGCGTCCATCGAATCACCTTAATGAAATTTGTTGGAGATTCTTGGCCTTGCTTTTTCCGCAAAATAGTGTGAACCCAGCACTCGTTTACCATCTTCTTACTTACAGTTCGGGCCACATTTTTACTGTTTTTTTTCCTTGTTGAAGATTCATGCTTTGAAAATACGTACATCATGGTTATTCGCTCCCATTGACTGATTCGATTGTGCGCCGAAGGATTTCAGCCATTGACGATGAAACTACCAAATCACGCATCTCGGTTTGCGACGTCGCAGACTTCCTGTCATACTTTATTTTTTAAATGAAAAACTACTTAACGTCCAGTCTTGAAAATTTCTGTGATTTTTCCTCTTCGTGCGGAGAAAATTCTGTGAAAACTTCAAGGAATGATATTGATTGGGTCTACTTCAAAAAAATAAAATACGAGCGTAGATTTTTAAACACCGCAAACGAGATACGTGGTTTGGTAGTTTCACCGTCGCCATTCTAAAAACTAGTAAAAATGTGTACGGATTTATGTTTATTTCATTTGTGTGTGTGTATGTTTACAGGCACGGAGGGTCCAGCCTTGGAGTCCGGTCCGGCAGGAAGAGTGCCCAATCGAGGGAATTTTTATAGCTACTCCACGGAAATTTGCGGTTTGAAGAGAGAAATTAGCAACGTCACCCTCTCGAACGGATTGGCGTGGAACAAGAACAACACGATACTCTACTACATCGATAGTGGCACCTTTAAAGTGACTAAACTCAAGTATGACAGAAGGACCGGAGTTATTAGTACGTTTAAATTATCGTTATCTTATCTTGGAATTGGAGCAACTTCCTCGGAAACTGTGAAATTCACACCTTCCGTAAACGGCCCCTTGTGAAGTTAAATTTTCGCCGTTTTGGGCTTTTAAGTACAGATAACTTTTTGATAACTTAATCGTTCAAGTATTACGTAAGGTAGTTTTGCAAACTTTTTGACCCCCGCCCCTCCCCTCCTGTAAGGAACCTGTAAGAACTCTCTGACCTCCCCTTTTGAATTACATAAGATTGGCCGGGACCTCCCCCCCCCCCAAGTTTTTTCAGAAAAAAACGGAGAAAGCCTGGTAAAATAGCTGATGGAATAAATTTAAGGCTTTTGTAAAAGTATTTTGATGAAAGTTGGAAAGAAAAAGAAACAAATAATTGAAATTTAACCGTCAGGGTGTTTACCAGTCATGAAAAACCAAAATTGGGGACTTTCAGGAAGTTAAGTGGACTTAAGTAGGACGTCATTTTCCTCACCGGAGGTGGCTGGCTACCGACACTCTTGACAAAAATACACACCAGACCGTGGGTAACAAGTCTAGAAAAATACATTTGAAACCAAGAAGTTTCGGCTGGAAACAGAGTGACATCATTCATCTCATTTTAAAAATTACAACCGAGTATACTAAGTTTTAAAATAAAAAAATGTATTCTATTTGACGAAGAGGGCTCCGGTGTTTCCAGTCGAAACGTCTTGGTTTCAAATGTTTTTTTCTTGCCATGTTACACGCGGTGTATATTTTGTTTAAATTTATGTCTTGAGTATTCAACGCACATCACGTAATTAATAAGTTTGGTTATATGTCATGCTCATGTTACACCTCTTCAAAATATGTCCGACTGGATCACCTACATGATATTAATCTATATTTTGAATGGGCGAGTAGGCAGGGTAAAAATTAAACTTCCAGAGACATGTTAGCTCAACAAAATTTGGAGCAGACGACGTTGGAATATTTAAAACTTTCAACATTATCTTATTCATTTTGAATGTTCAAAATTCAAAAATCAAAGATGGTGGACGTGGCCAACGACGCTCTTCGGTTCCTAGCTGTTCAGTCGAATTTGTGAGACTTTGTAATGGTATCAGAAAGCCTTTTTTTGATCGAAAACTCGAATGGGCCTGTTGCAAACTTTTGCTAGAGCAAAAATAAGAGTTGTTTCTTATAGATAATGCCTCGAAAATCACGATGAGCGCATCAGCAAAGTCTGAAATGCACTCATAACTTCACAGTCTGCGTGAGAAATTTGCGGTTTTTTGAGCTTCCCGCTTCAAAAACGATACTACGGCACAGGTGAACATTTTGTAAGAGGAGTCGTTCCATCGTCGGCAATAATCATCATGGCCGACGCCAATCCGCCAAAACACGTTTGATGGGACGAGATAACATCTGAACTGGATTAGACCAGATAACAATCGGTGTGTTAACGTTCATATTTTCCACGCCCGAATTGATTGACCTTGAACTCTCCTCGAATTACGCGCGGAACTGCGCGCAAGCGTCGGCCATGATGAATATCGCCGACGATGGAGCGACTCCTCTAACAAAATGTTCACCTGTGCCGTAGTATCGTTTTTGAAGCGGGAAGCTTAAAAAAACGCAAATTTCTTACGCAGATTGTGAAGTTATGAGTGCATTTCAGACTTTGCCGATGCGCTCATCGTGATTTTTGAGGCATTATCTACAAGAAACAACTCTTATTTTTGCTCTAGCAAAAGTTTGCAACAGGTCCATTGTAAGACAAAGTTTTCACAATTTGAAAATTCAAAATGGCGGATGCGGCCTTAAGTGTTATATTGGTTTTTTCAAAAGTGTCTAATCTTGCAATCAGAATCTATATTCTTTTTCTGCTTATTTTCAAACTTAATTTACCCTCAGTTATATGATACCTTGCTGATATAGGCGCGTTCTTCAACACTTTTATGTTGAGATGAATTGTTCCAATCGTTATTCTTTTTGCAGGCAATCCCGAGACGGTTTTTGACTTTAAAGCGAACAAGATTCCCGGGCTCCTCCCTCATGGCATGACAATTGACACGGAGGACAACCTGTACGTCGCAATGTACGGTGGATATCGGGTGAGTTAATTGGCACCAATGGACCAGTAGACAAAGCACGAATTTAAGCTGCAGTTTCATACAAGTTCCTTTGCCAAAATTTTAGGTAGAACACGATTCGGGACACGAGAAATACTGAAATTAACTCTTAATCAAGAAATTGAAGTTGTTTATGCAGTGGAAAAACACGGATGAAAAAACGGGAAACAAGGCTAAAAATACACAATTTATGAAGCCCGAGACGTTTCGACTCAGGACTGAGTCATTTTCAGTCGAAACAATAAAAATTTAAAAGAAAAACGATAAAAAACCTGAGCCCTACATGGTGGTGGCCGGGATCTGAGAGCTCTCGGCCTTGTTTCCCGTTTTTTCATCTTTGTTTTTCCACTGTTACTCGTATCATTGTCTTGGGCTGCTCCTAAAAATTTGTTGTTTATGCATATATTCAAACTTCTCGCTCATAGACAAAACATTAATCTACTTGAGTTCAATTCACGGTGTCTTGAATCCTTGACCAAGCTCATTCCCTGATTTTTTTCTGATTTTCCCTGATTTTCAGGAGACGCCTCTGATGAGGAATCAAAATTTTCTATACGCAAAAAATATGTAATTCTCCGGGTGACGGATATATTAAAATTGATTTTTTTTCATCTTCCTGCGGAGATTTCAGCGCACATTTCAATATTGAAGTAGAAAAGTGGTCCTGGTGTTTATACAAATATTATCTGGTCAATCAAAGGTTCTCTATTATTCAGATGATTTAAGAATTCAAGTATGCTGTATGAGAAACGAATATGAATAGGAACCCTTTCCAAATAGAGAGTTTACAGGTGTTTGAAATTTGATGAATTTCGTGTAAAAATGGAAACTACTGAGTGATCTGAACACGAGGATACCCTTGGTTCATGAATTGAACAATTATTGGAGAAGATTTGACGAAATGATGTAATCTGCTGAAATACGTGTGTTTAAATGGGAAATGCCACCAGATGACGTCACTAGGCGGTGCATTTTCTCACTTTTGAATCTATTTTTATACAATTTTCCATACCAGAGAGAAATCATAAAAAATACTGTGAGATCAGCTCTTTAAGCACTTTCAGATGTAGTAATAAAAAATTTGCATGCAAATGGAGATGTTGCACGTGCGAGGGATTTGCGATTTGACCATTGATTCTTATGTAAAAGTTCGCGAGAAACACGATGGTGCCACGGATCATCTCTGAAATCATCTCCCAAGCTCAAAAAAAGCTGTCAAAGTGGGGCCAAAATGGAGGGGATATCCCATCCTACCCTGAGAGTCCACCGCTACATCAAAACAAACTCTCCATGCAAAGATATAGGGAGCAAATACATTGACAGGGCTGCCACTTGATTTGGGGACTCCAAAACTGAAAACACGGCAACACTGCTAATGTATTTGCTCCCTATCTTTGCATGGAGAGTTCGTTTTGATGTAGAGGTGGGCTCTCAGGGTAGGGTGGGATATCCCCTCCATTTTGGCCTCACTTCGATAGCTTTTTATATGAGCATGGGAGATGATTTCAGAGAAAACCAGTGGCACCATCGTGTTTCTCGCGAACTCTTACACAAGAATCAATGGTCAAATCGCAAATCCCTCACACATGCAACATCTCCATTCTCCATTCGTGCAGATCATAAAAATAGACCCCACGCGAGGGGTTGTGCTGCTGACCATCAATCTGCCTATCGCGCTTGTGACGGACATGAGGTGGGGCGGTTGGGACCTGGACATTCTCTTCGTGACGTCATCCAGGATGGGGCTCAACGAGACTGAACTGGAGGAGCAGCCGTGGGCAGGGCGTGTGATCGCTATGACTGGCCTCAACGCCACCGGGTGCATCTCCCACGAGGCAGTCATCTGTCTCCCGGGACGACCGGACGACACAGATGTCTGTAGCGCCCCAAGTTAAGTCTACCTCACCGATGGAGCATAAGGACGTATTTCTGCCGAACGGAATTATACAGGGCGTCTCAGGATTAAGTACGAATATTGACGGAGTCGATTCTTGGGGTCAAAAAAAGACGTTATCGTGGTATAACGATTCTGCCAAGAACAGTTTCCCTGGGGGCCGCGGCGCGGCGCACAGTGCGGCACCCTTATGGACGATGCGGACAAAAATCGGCAGAAGACACTTAACTTTGAATAATGAATGTAATAGCACCGACATAGGAAAACCCTTTGGCACTATCAAAGTAAAACACTCGAGGAATAAGAAAATTTTATACCTCAGGTTTTTTTGCGTATTTTTCAAGAAAAGTTCATTCGAAGTTGGCAACCTCGAATTAGCTCTGTGTTAACAATGTAAACGCAACGTGAAACATCCAAACTTTAACTTCAAATATCTCCGATAGTCGCAGATCTTTTTCGTATAATTGAAGTTGGATATATGAGGATTAAGAAAATGTCAACCACCCAGAGCATTTTGCGTTTCAAGCGAGAAATCTCCATTTGAAGTTGACGTCTTTTTCCCGTGTATTTCTTACGGACCAGTGATTCCCGACCTATTTCCTGCCCACTTTCTACCCACATTTGAGGTAGTTTTGAGCGGAATATTTGAAAATGAACCATCATAGTGAGTCAGAAATATCTTTTAAGATGACAAATTCCGAAAAAAATATTCAGATGTCGAGTTGTGAATTTTTGATTTTTGTCCACAGAGGGCCGCACTGTGCGGCGGCGCGGCCAATTGTGGTACCGGTGCCAGGTCCACGTCATTTCGCGGGGAAAACAGAGCCATGAAATTCCAACCAATTTCAAATAAGAGTTTAAAACTTTTTTTTTTACTCTAATTGAAACATTTTTGGAATTTCTTGGCTTTGTTTTCCCCGCGAAATGGCTTGGACCCAGCACCATTTCTCCACCTCTTTACATACAGTTCGGGCCATTTTTTTTTAGTACGTTTCTTTCTTGTATGTATTAAACTTGACTTTGTTTACATTTGATACTCCATGAGAAATTAACAATTAATAAAATATTGTTATCATATTATTACCTCTTGATGGAGATTTTCACGAAGAACGAAGGGTGTGATTACCAATCTCATCTGCTCGGATACTTCTTGAAGAAGATTTAATTAAAATATGGGTAAACAAGGCTGAAAATTATTGAAACACTAAAAGGCCGTTATCACGTAACCACATGCCACGGCTGGGGTCAGGTCGCCACTCAATTTTTTACTTGTTTTTATTTATTTTTGCAGCTGAAAATGAGCTGGTAGTAGCTCGAAACGTCCTGCCTTTTAGTGTTTCAATAATTTTTATAGCTTTGTTTACACATATTTTAATTAAATCTCCTTCTTTATTCGTATATTCGGGCTATGTTTTTGTGCTTTATCAATCCTCTTGTTCAATCTAATAAAGGCCCCAGATCGAAATTTGTCATTGTAAAATTTCATGCACGAAGGGCGTCTCTGCTTAAAGAAGCTCCGCTCAAAACACAATTGGACGTATTTCTACCAAACAGCATGATTGGTTAACATTTCCAAAAGCAAATGTCCAGAGTGAATGAATGTCCAATATACAAGAAAAGTCCATGAGTGAAAAATATAACCAAGTATCTGGAATGTCCAGTAGTGGCTCGCTTTTCCCCGAATCTGCGCTTTATCCGGCCTCTCTTGTTGAGTTAGCTGCACCCATCAAGTGAGTAGTGGCATAATTTTCATGGTACCTAAATGCATAGAGTACAGAAGAACCGTAATGACCAATTTTGAACGAAATAAAAATCCAGACCTTGAGGTTGCAACGCGATTCGGATCATTTTGACGAATTTTAAATCGTGAAGCTGGCAACGCTGCAACTCTAAATTGTTCAAATATGCTTTTCCTTATAGAAAACTCTCAGATTGCACATTTTTCGTGAAATTTTGGAGGAAATCACACCTCGAAACCTTCATTTTATCATCAAATTCGATCTTTTTGAGTCCACAACTTGGCAACGCTGCCGCGGGGGCAAACAATTTTTTATGGGCATGAAAATTTCAGAAAAGTCACATCTTATACCAGGTTAATACATACTAAAAGTTCAGATCGGTCACGGCAAGGATGAGAGAGAAGAGGTTTGATTTGCCGCCCCGTGCCCAGTGTGCTATTTAACCCTTAAAAAACCACAAAAATGCGATTATTTTTCAAAAATCTCAAACACTGTATTTCGAGATTGGCCAGAAACCCATCAGGCAGTACCCTACTACAATCTGCGATTTGAATTTTTGAAATTGAATGGAAATCTCACTTCGAAACCTTCATTTTATCATCGAATTGGACATTTTGGAGTCCGCAACTTGGCAACGCTGCCGCGGGGGGCAAAAAATTGTGTATGGGCATGAAAATTTCAGAAAAGTCACATTTTACACCAAGTGAAAACATACTAAAAATTCAGATCGGTCGGGGCAAGGATGAGGGAGAGGGGGTTTAATTTGTCGCCCCACACTGTTAAAAATCGTTGATTCCGTCCGACGGAAAATCCGGAGTGAGAATGAACACGGGAGTGCGGTTCAGCGCGTAGGTGCTGAGACGGGCTGCATGTGAAGTCAAAGCACTCCGCACCGGAGCTGCAGTACGGCCCGGAGTCACGCGCACCTTCTCTCCCTCGCACTAGCGCTATATACTGTCTCTCCTCCCCTTTAAGCCTACCACTCTCAGAATGAAAAGGAAAAATTTAAAGAGAAAAAAATAGAAAAAATAATAGAATAGTGGAAATAATAGAATAGTCGAAATTATGGTATAACAGAGACAAAAGAAAAGAAATAAAATAAAGTAAATCAAATATATGATAAAATGAAGTCAAAGACTAAATTGAAGTAAATAATTAGAGGGAGCAAGGAGATGAAGAAAAAAATAAAATAAGGGAAACAACTAAATGATGTTAAAGAATAGAATGAATTTTAAGAGTAAAGTGAAGTCCAAAAATTATGATGAAGTATTAAAAGAAATCACAGTAAATATAAAACAAAGTAAAGGAATGAGAAGTAAATAATTAAAGAGAAAAAAATGAAGTGCTTGAAAAAATAAAATAGAGTGAAGAAAAAATAGAGACAACAAGGAAATAAAACAAAGTAAAACAATAAAGTATAGTTAAAAAATATAGTAAAGTAAACTAAATACACGACAAATCCAGGTAGATTGAAAATATTTTAGCGGCCCGTTCAAATCGACGTTAAATACCGTTTTTGTGTCACTTACATGCATCGTTCGCTATAGCTCAATCGGTAGGGTCGTCGGTTAGTGTTAGGTAGGTCCCGGGTTCAATTCCCTATGTAGGTAGAAAATTTCTAACTTTCAATATCGGTTAAATCACGTACCAATGGTTTCATTATTTTTATTTTTCATGGTTTCAAAAATTATTTCCACAATTAACCCCTTTCCACCATCCCCTAGCTGCGAACCCCTAAATTTGCGGCTCCCGCGAATCCGTCCGGCGTCGGAGTGATTTCTATGCGTACGGCACCCAAAATCCGTCCAGCCGATTCTCCGTCGGAGTGACTCCTCGGTCCGGCGAAGTGAGGGCCCGTTCTTACTCGCGCTTGTGCTGAGTCTCACTCCGTTTTTTTTAACAGTGCAAGGTCAATTTTGCTATTTTACCCCTAAAAAACCACAAAAATGCGATTATTTTTCGAGGAGCTCCGACAACCTATTTCAAAATTGCCCAAAAACCCATCAGGGAGTACCCCACTACAACCTCCAACTTGAATTTTTGATGTACATTCAAGTCGCATTTAAAGTGAGTTCAAGCGCACCGTGAATGGCTATTGACATAGAAAGCTTTCAGGCTCCTTATGTTGCCACTTAATCAAATTATTTCACATTTGAGCATTTTTGTTTTTAGCCATAATACCGCTATTGGATATTCCAGATTTTTGGACTTGCTTAACTGTGGAATTTTTTGTGCTCTGGACATAGTTATCACAGGACATTTTGTCCTATCACCCCAAACAGAACTATAAGTGGATGGGAAAGATGGGGTGTGCTCGCGGTGAGCCGGATAAGAAACAGTGGTGTGGCGTGAGTGATCGATTATCGATATTTCTCCATTTGAAGCTGTAGTAAAGAATCGATTATCAAGGTGTTCGCTGCGAACACCTTGATAATCGATCCTTTTCCATGGTTTTAAATGGCAGATCAATCGATATTTAGAAAATCACGCCACGCCACTGATAAGAAACAATGTGAAAGTGGGGTTGATTTTTTGAAGAATTGGAAAAGCAAGATTTTAAATTCACCAAATTGAACTATGTGCCAACTGTATTCAGGACTCATGAGCCGTGGGCATGGGACAAGAACGTTGTGGACAGGGTTCATGAGTTACGGACTCGGATCGTCGGGCGTGCTCCTCCGTTGTCGCTGCTGACGTCACTGGTGCCTTATAATTCCCATTCATTCTTACAGCCCGAGAACTGACGATTTCCAGTCAGAAGGTCTACAGACATAATGTCTACCGCAAAAATGTCTACTTTTTATTGTTTACTACACAAATGTCTACAGTTGGTATGTCTACCATTAAGAAGTTTATTAAAAAGAAAGTCTATTTGTCTAAAGTCTACCGTGTACGGTGACTATAAACGTGTAGACTGTGGACATAGTGTAGACATTATAAAGAACTATTAATTTAAAAAAGAAATTACTTAAAATGTCGTAAAGCCTGCCTCAGAGCTTTAAGCAGCTGGGTCGTCTGGGTTTTCGTCGTCTTGGACGTCTTGGACGTTTCGATTTTCCGGGAACATCTTAAGGCAATGCCCGATTGCATGCAAGTATCTGTCAACCATATTATCTCCTTTGTAGAAGGCATACCGAGCGACAATTCCTTCAAGTCTTCTCATATTCCTCCTGTACGATTTTTTAATCGGATGTCTGTTTCTAATGTGGCCCGCCAGTAATTGCAAAATCAAGATTTCATTATCCCGCTGCTCCTTCCGAATACTGTCGAGAAATTTCCAAAGAGAGGCATGATGCGTAACGACCATGCGCTGAAATTTATTGTGCCAGCCTTCAATCGTATTGGTCGTGTGGTGTTCGCCATGGAGAGTTGCGTTGTAAACATTCCATTTGTTAGGCGGGAACAATGGAGGGTTAGCTCTACGCCTGCCCACTGCTGCTGTTTTGAACTACAGGAAATTTTGAACTACAGGAAACTCATTTTAACTGGAAGGATGAAAAAGTGAGATTCATATCTGCTTGCGCCTCCATAGTACCGCGTATGAGGTATTACCAAGCCGCCAATTTTGCAGGGAAAATTATGATTTATTATTTATAGGTTATGATTTTTCAGAATTTTGCGGGAAATTATCCATCACCGGACATCTAATTATGTAGACATTTATAACTGTAGACATGTAGTAAATAGACTTTCTTTTAAAAAAACTTTTTAATAGTAGACATACTAACTGTAGACGTTTGTGTAGTAGACGATAAAAAGTAGACATTTTTGCAGTAGACATTATGTCTGTAGTCTATTATGTCTGTAGCCTATTTTTGACCTGAACTATGTGCAAGTGCAAAGATGGGGTGTGCTCGTGGAGGCTACATTGGAAATAGTGTATAAGTGGATATAGTTCCTTTTAGGGAAATGGAGGAGCGGGATTTACAATTAAATCGAAAGGAATTGAGCAGTGGCGTGGCGTGCTTTGCGATTTATCGATTGATACGCCACTCAAACCCATATAAAAAGATAGATTATTAGGGTGTTCGCAGCGAACACCTTACTAATCGATTCTTTTCCATAGCTTCAAATGGCGAGATATCGATAATCGATCATTGACGCCACACCACTGGAATTGAGGGCTAACTCATGAGCCGTGGACATGTGACAAGAGCCTTGTGGACAGGGCTCATGAGTTAAAGACGAGTGAGAACGACGACGGGGACGGCTTCGTTGCCGCTGACGTCACTGGCGCTTTAAAATCCCCATTCATTCTTGAGGCCAGAGCACTAACGAGCACACCCCATGCAATACTTGCAGCTGTAAATTTCATTATGCAAAATTTCACCTCACTCATGATAG